TCATGACCTTGGTACACTGAAAAGTACTGGTCAGGTATTTTATAGAACGTCTCTCCATGTGGGTTCCTCTAATGCTTTCTCATGACTAGCAGAGGTTATGCATTACTAGGCGAGTACCCAATGTGCCCCTCTCAGTGCCACATAAGCTGGGGCATGATGATGCCAAGCAGTACTGGTGATATGAATTTGGATCACCTGGCTAAGCTGTTATCTGCCAGGATTCTATATAAAGTTACTACTTTCAGACAGTCTTTTTATTAGGAAAAAAAAAATTAATTAAGGCCTAGGTAATCCAGCAAACAAAAGCTGCCACCCTATAAGATTGAACATGGTGAACAAGCTTTTGATTCAGTTCAGCAAATGATGTATCAATTCTCAGGCAAATAATTGTTCTTAAAAGATGGAAGCAGTTTCTCATTTGCAGTAAGTATTTCTGATAGGTCTAATGAAAGGATTTAGAATTCATATATTAAAATGTTAAAAAAAACAATGTGAATATATACTTCTATATTCAAATATAAATGTACTCTATTTTAATAGTGGAATAGAAAAATGTAACTAAAAACAATCTAATTCTATAATCTTGTTTTGCTTATGTTTTAATATATTAAAAAGTCTTAGTTTACCCAAAATGAACAAAAATTATTAAAATCAGCTTTGAAAAACATACTGGGTATATTCATTTGCTGGGACTGCCATAACAAAGTACTACAAACGAGGTGGCTTAGGACAGCAGACATTTATTGTCTCATATTTCCAGAGGCCAGAAGACTAAAACGCAGGTGCTGGCAGGGCCCTGCTTCCTGTGAAGGGGGTAAGGGAGGATCTATCTGTCCCATGCTTCTCTCCTAGCTTTCGGTAACCACAGGCATTCTTCTTCTGTCTTCACATGGGCTTCTCTCTGTGCATGTCTCTGCATCCAAATGTCCTCCTTTTATAAGGATACGAGCCCTATTGGTTTAGAACCCACCCTAACAACCTCATTATAGCTTGATCACCTCATTTAATGACCTCTGTAATGACCGTATCTCCAAATAAGTCACATAATGAGGTACAGGGGGTTAAGAACTCCGACGTATCTTTTTTGGGAAGAAGACACAACTTAATCCGTAACACTGGATTTATTTTTAAGAGTACTTAACTGATTTGAAGCCATTACCTTCCTTTAGCAACTTACTGCTAAAATTCCAAATTAATATTACAAAGTTCTAATCATAAAAGNTCCCCACTTCTCAGAGTCTTTAATATTTCTGCCAAGCTCCAAGCCTCCTTTGCATTTTGTCTGTAAAGTACTAAAGTTTTCCTGATCACTAGATCCCACTAATCTCTAGAATTCTCATTCTTCACCTCTCTCTGTATATCTGGCATTTCCACTGCCTCTTCCTTATTAAAACCCATGTTCACCTTTAAGCTACAGGTCATGGAACTATCTTGATCCTCTTCTTAACAATGTCTTTCAACAATACTACTGTCTGGTTGTTAGATTTTTTGTTTTTTTGTTTTGTTTTGTTTTGTTTTTTTCTTTTCTAAATGTAAGCATTCCCAAAGATTTTGCCTAGCTATTACTTTTCTTTTTTCCCTCATTGGGTTTCTTTACTCAGTTATTTCATGTGCTTCCACTGTTTTAACAAACACTTCTATATGAATGAATTCTAAATTAGTTTAGCTCCTTAAGAGCAAAAACCGAATCCCATTCAACTCAGTATCCCCAATACCTGGCATAATTTGAAACACAATAGGTACTTAACAAATAACTGTTGTATTTTTGGTCACATATTTTTTCTACTTCAGATCCCCCACTCCCATGCCTATATAACATGCTCTTTGACTCCTTTTACCTTTTATAATCCTATCTGTCCTTCCATAGGCATCTAAAAACATACTAGCCAAGAAGTATTCCTGAGTCTCCCAGACAGATATGTTTTGGGCCCCCTTTGAACATTCGTGATTATTCACAATCTTTTATCACACCATTACTAGGGTACAACGTTAGGATGGAAAGAGTAACTTCTTAATCATTTTTACTCTCTACAAAACACTGCATAGGGCCGGCCGGTGTTGTGTTGGTTAAGAGTTGGCTTGCAACACCAGCTCTGGGCAGCAGGGCTCCGGTTTGGATCCCACATGAGGGCCAGTGACGCTGCACCCTCTATAGCAAAGATGGTGAACAAAAGCTCGACCTGGAGCTGGACTGCTGTGAGTTGATGGCAATGGCGTAGGTTGCAGCCTCTGCTGCAGTGGGCTCCTGTAAGCTACCGTGAGCGGACAGCAGCTGGCGTGAGCTGCTGTGAGAAGCCATGAGCAGCTGTCCAATGGCTGGAGAGTGATCTGCCTCACCCGGGAAGAAGGCAATGATAATACCAACATTGGCCAGTGAAGCGACGTCCTCNTTGGTTACCTTTTTAAACCAAGTCAACTACAGAGAATTTAAATTTAAGTTATTATACCAAATCTACAACTTAATTAAATGAGTCCTCTAAAACTAGGCACTTGGCAAAAATGCATGCTTCTATAGGCATGCTTTTACCACTAAAGACTCTTATAATTGTTTATCCATCTCCTAAAAACTATAAGCAACACAATGCTAGTATATAAATATACTATGCTAATATATTTCTCAGTGTCTGGCCTAGTGCACAGAACATAGGAAATGCTCAAAGAAGTTTGTATAATAAATGAATGAGTAAAGTTTATGCATGCAAGGGGAATTATTAAATTTTTTATAATACAGTGGTAGCGTCAACATTATTGAAGTCCAGATGAATAATCCTTTATACTTGTTAACCATCATTCCAGTGCAGAAGGTAATTATACAGTAATTATGTTGTGGCTAAGAATGCGCAAAATCAATATGATAATAAACCATGACAAGATAAAAAAAAACTTTTAAGGTATCAGTAACTATATTAATATTACCTATTTTTATTTTTATTCAGCAATCCTATATTTCAGCAAATATCAATTGAATGCTCATCTTGTTAAGCAACCATGGTAGAAACTGACTGAATTAAATTTCTGTTAGTACTCTTTTTAAAGCAAATGTTAAGACTTAGTTTAAGACTTTATTTTAACTTTCTAGTCTTACTACCCCTCCTCACCATCCCCTCTCTTCTAGACTGAATTAAAGGAATAATATGACACAAGAAATAGTACTTAAAATATACATTTAACCATCTTGCCATTACACACACACACACACACACACACACACACACACGCACGCTCGCGCGCGCGTGTGTGTGTGTGTGTGTGTGTGTGTGTGTGTGTGTGTGTGTAATATATATAAGGTACTTGACAATTTATTAACCATTAAAGTGGGCTAGGGAAAATAATGATAGTTACCAATTATGTACTAATTATGTATGCCAAACACTGCATTCAGCACTAAACAGGGCTTATTTCCTTTAAGCTTCACAAGAACCTTAAGAGGCAGGTACTATTATTATTATCCTCATTTTTCAAATGCGAATACTGAGGCTGAGACTTCAAGGTCACACAGCTAAAACATAGAAAAGCCAAATTTAAATTCAGGTTTATTTGACTCTAGAATTATGTTCTAATTTTTAAACACCCCTTACTAAACTTATTAAAGTAAAATTAGTCACTAGAAACATTTAAATTTTAGACTTTCAAAATAATATAACATGACAAATTGTAGCATGTTTGTGTAAATTAAGCTTTAATTGTTGTTTTACTGAACTCCTGAATTCTCATAATCTGTAGATTTGGGATAATTCTGGTCTTCCTGCAATGTAAGTAATGCAAGTACATAGTTGTTTTGTTTGAATATGAAAAAATATAGAAATTTAACAGCCAAGCTCATCTTCCTTACAAAGTACAGAGACGTGAGAACGCAAAATAAAAGTGCAAAGATATCCATCATAAGAACTGGCCTTTAGTTTTCTAGTGTAAGTTATATAATTTTTTTAAATCAATAAAGCTGAAAAAAATTAATCAAACTCTACACTTACAATATGTAGACTTTTTTGCATATTATACTTCAATAAAAAGCACAAGAAGAACTTGGCTGAATTATTCACTTTTGTAGCAGATGCCTATTTTCTAGCTAAACATTTGAATATCTAATTGCACTGCCATCTCGCACACATAGCGTGGAGCTTTTTGCACATGATAAATAAATAAGATTGAGCAAATTCTTGCACAAGAAGTTTTAATATACCAGGGCATTAGACTGTTCTTTTTGTTCAATTTAATAAACAAATTACTGCTTGAACATTTTCAAGCTTTCCTCCTTTCCTTGAACACTGTTTGTAAGAGATGTTTACCTGGAAAAGATGCTAGTTGGGGATGTACGGCTAAGGCTGTGGGTGTACCAAGTGTCCCCAAACCACCAAATTCTGAATGCCCTGAGCTGGCTGAATGTAGACCAAAGACTGGGTGGCTGACCATTGGGAAGGCACTCGACACTGTGGACAGGTTAAACGGTTGATCCCCAGCTGCTCTGAATAAATGTCCTGGGAGGGAAAAGAACACACTTAAAGTTGTACTATAAAAACAGATGAGATTTATCTCATTTCAGCATTCATAAATTAGTTAAAATATATAATTTATCTATTAAAGTTTTAGTTACATTTCTTTCTTTTGCATTTCTACTCTTCAAACCCTACAGAATAAGATGTTTCCAGAAACATGAAAGTACTCCAATGCATATAGTTCAAATAAATGGTATAAACTTATTTGAGATTTGAGAAATGATGTTTTCAGTAAATAATTTTCACTAATTACAACAGTTTGACCTACAGAAGTGAGGTGAACTTTCTGTTGAAACACGTATATTAATACATTACCAAAAATTTTTACTCATGAGAAGGAAAACAAAAACATCCTATTAAGGTCGAAAACCAATGAAATAAGTCCAGAATCTGTGACTCAGTCATTGCTCAAATTCTCATACACTCTAGGCAGTTTCCAGTTTCCATGCACCAGAAGTGAAGCTATGTTCTCTATTCAATACCTCCTAGATGAGGAGAGTTGATCCCAAAAAGGGATTATATTCTAGCCTAATAAGGCAATGTATAGGACAACATAAAGATTTAATAAATAAACTTACTGAGATATTTCTGCATCCAAGGGGGGTTATCAATATGAAAATCATTTTTAACTTTGTGATAGAAAGATCATATTCAATTCAAATGTGTGACTTTTCAACCTCCACTTTTACTCTAAAGAGAATCCAGTACTAAGTGTCACAACCCCAGGTTGGAGTGTTATA